GCACTCGCTGCTACTCCTGAGTTTCTGTTAACAGTTCCTCTTTCCAGATAGAGAAGCTGAGGCTGGCCCACAGAGCTATTTGTGTTCCAAGGTCACAGAGACCTGGGACAGCCTGGGCTGGCAAAGGCCTGCTGATCTGGCTGGAGCGCTTGCCACAGGCCCCTTAAGCCTCTCAGTGGCCAGTGGGAAGTGGTGAGGGAGCTCATGAGATTAACGCCGCCGCAGCTCGCAGCTCAGTAGTAAAACCCGGACCAGCTCACTCTGCAGGCTCACTGGTGAATAACAGGAATCTTTATCATCCTTTCCGTCAGAAAGCGTTTATTTAAAACCCTTTGGCTAGCTCACAGGGTGAGCTGGCCTGTCACACACCATCACATGGCATGGAAACTGGCAATTAAATTTAGCAACCCACCTCGGCAAATCCAGACCGAGATGTTTACAGGCCAGCCTGAGAGGAGCCAGGAGTTTTCACTCCTAAATCAAGAGGTTTCCAGAGAAAGTGAAATAAGGCTCGGGTGGGTTATGCCGAATTATGAGCACCTGTTCCCATCAATAACTTGGCGTCCTCCAAATGCTACAGCAGGACGCGGGGGCCGAGAATGCTCATTCTGCACACAGTCTGATAGAGGGCTACGGGCTTCGTTGTTGGGCTGCGGCGCAGAAATGGGGAGACGCCGACATGGAGGCATTCACTCCAAGGACAACTTGTTTGTTTACTGACTCTGGGGGCCGAGAGAGACAACATTAACCAAAGAATAAACGTCATTTTCCCTACACACCATGAACAGAGGGCTGTAATCGCAGCACTGAGCAGCTTGAGTAGATTTCCATGATGGCAAACAGTGAGGTGGGCATATTAAGTACACAGTAAGTTTTACTGGTTTGCAGGGTGCAATCAGAATTATAGCCTGGATTCATTGCTACAGGCTTGCCTGCGGTCCAGGAAGCTGTTCTGTTATAAAGCTCCACTTTCTGGAAAGCCCCTTGGGTTGAAAATTAGCAAAAGTGGACTTTGTGTTTCTGGTGTGTGTTGGGCTGTCTAAACTAGAGGAGATGCTATTTCTCATTTCAGCAAAAGGCTCAGCTAGAATACGGTGCTGTAGCGTGGCCGGGAGCGTGCCTGTCAGAGGGGGGCGGGCACGTAAGGCCTTGCACAAGCTAGACCCTTTAGCCACATCTTTCCCAACCCTTGACATGCTTGGTAAATTACATCTGCCCAACTTCTGTAAGGGCTTGTCTTCGGCAAGAGCCCAGATATGCTGCTGTGGGTGGGAAGAGGACCCTCGCAATCCCAAAGAATGGTGGCGGATACCACTCTCCCGCCACGTGAAAGCATTCCACTGTTCAGGTGCAGATAAACATGTCTGAGCTTCAGCACACCCACATGAGTATCTGTTCTCCCGCCTTACACAATAGGACCTTACAGAAAAGGGAACAAGAGTTTAAGTGTCGTAAACTGGGCCCTAAGGGGTGGGGCGGGGGGAGCCGAAAAGGCCAGCTGATAATGGGAGGACCCCAGATTAGAAACGAAGCAGAGTGGCTCTTTACTCTTCTGAATAGTAACCCTGGTGGATTTCCAGGACCGAGGGCGAAGATGGAAGACATCCTGTGCAAAGCCAGGTTTTCTCTCATGCTGTAATTAAGAACCGCGGCGGAACAATTCCCTGAGCGACATGTTCCTATCCAACTTGCCCATCATAAGTCTTCCTTTATCTCTACTTTTGCTCCCCTTCCTTTTCCTTTACTCCCTCTCTTCTTCTCACTCGTTCCTTCTCCCCTTTCTAGGCCTAATGGTGAAGAGCGTAGCCCCACATTCTTCAGCTGCTCTGTGGACTCGGGCTGAGGAGCTCATGTGTCCTCCTTGGCTCAGTAGAAGCAGGTCGGGCTGACACTCACGAGACCTTCAATCCAGTGCCAGCTTGACCCACGGTGCTGGGCCCGGTATATTCTCAGTGCATGGGTTTCTTTCTGTAAGATGGGGATAAAAGTCTCTCCCCTACTTCACGAGGATGATTTCAAGGACTGATGAGATTGTGTGTTAAGAACGCGCCTCAGAGGACGGGCACGGTATGAATGCTGGGTATTGCCGTCGTTGTCCATTTACGTTTCAGAGTACTTCGCTGATGTTCCTGGTCACGTCTTCCTCGTCTCGTAAAGCAGGTTGGATCCAAAGAATTGAGTTTGGCTCAAAGTCACACAAGGTTGGGTGCCTCAGCTGAGTCTAAACAAAGAACAATTGAGTTCCTAATCTATGCTCAGCCTGTTGGACCACAGTGACCTCTGCTCTCTGTACCTGGAAGCCCAGCCCTGGTGGAGGAAATAATGCTCCTGCTTCTCCAGATGGTGCGGAACCTGTTACACTGCCTCCCCCTCCCCAGCAGCCCGGGTGAATCTAGCTCTGTTTGTGTCTGGCCCACATCTCACACCTGCCCGGCACAGCCTGCCGCTTGCTGAGAGAGAATGTGGGGCAGAAGTGTGAGTCGGGGGATGCTCAGTTGGGCAAGGGGAGAGCCAGAGGACACAAATCCACTTTGGGGGTTCAGAAGTGATATGTGAGCGTAAACACAAGTGGGAGCCTAACTGAAGTTTCAGCCGAACTGAAATGTTTCTACTCTGTCCGACTTCAATTCCTTTGCATAGGGATCATCTGAAACAGAAATGCCAGGACAGAACAAAAACGGAAAAATCCCCTCTGAGGCTGGGACCATGGCAGCGGCCGCGGCCGGACTTGCTCGTCATTCGCCCGGATTCCCCTGCCCTGCTTGGGACTGCAGCCCTCTGTCTTCTGCAAACGACTTCTCCCAGGCTGTCTTGCTGCCTGGCTTCCGGCTGGGTTCAGCCCGAGTGAGTCAGTGAGGGTGAATCCGAGGGCTGGAGGAAGGGAGAAGCCAGGCTGTTCCCCTTGTTCTCCCACTGAGCTGGCCGGGGTCTCTAACAGCGGCCCCCTGCCAGTGTGCTCCTGCTGGGCAGCCACTCTCCACGGTTCCAGCTTCACCAGACTGCTGAGTTCAGGTGCTGATAACATTTCCTTCCCAAATGTGGAAACTTGCTGCTCTCACTTCTGTGGGGGATTGGCTTTTCAGCTCTTCCACCGTCTCTGTGACCAGCTCCCCACATTACATTTCCTCTATTCGACTCCCTGGCTGCCACTGTCTTCCTAACTGATAAATGCACGGAACCTCTGAGGGCGCCTGGTCTGCTTTACAGATGAGGAACCTGAGACCCAGGGAAGCCACAGGCCCCTCCTATAGGAAGTGGGTCCAGGTGGGACTGGAATCCGGCTCCCCCAGCGTCGCTTAGTGAGCCTCCTGGGGCAGGGGGCCTATGGGGTCCGGACTCAAAGGGGCCACTTTTACTGGTAAGGAGAAAGCGGGAAATAAAGCTGGAATTGCCAGTTCATGCACAGAAATGGTCCAAATACTCTAATTACCCAGAAAGGCCCCTTCCTTTAAAAAAAATAAATGAAAGGCTGAAAAGAAAAGATAAAGAGAGAAACTTGGGTGTCAAGGTGTGAGGGAAAGAGATGGATCTTCTTATTTCTCCTATTTGCCTCTTTAGACTTTGAAGAGGATCCCGGGGTCCGGGTACTGGCTTCTTTCGAAGGAAAACAGGGACCCCTCATCCCTTCTGGGGGAGGACTGGATGCTTCGGGGTGACACCCATGGCTTCATCCAGAGCATCTTGCAACAATTCCTTGGGGCATGTGGAGAAGCCTGAACCTTGTCACAATTAGGCCTCAGCTCTGGCAACCTGTGTTTACACCAGGATGCCCCCAGCCTGGGCCAGGTCAGACTCCAGCCCAGCACCTGCTCCACCAGCACCCAAACCAGCCCTCCCAAAGGGCACTCCGTGGTCAGCAGGGCCAGCAGAGCCCTGGAGGGGGCCCTCCCTGACAACCACCCTTTGACTCATGCATTATTCAGAGGCCGCTGGACTGGCGCTGCCTGCTGCCTGCAGGGCTCACGGAGAGGTTCAGCTCCAGCCGCACAGGCAGAGCCAAAGGGATATGTGACTTGAGAAACTTTTCTTTTTAATTGTAGTAAAATACACGTAAACTTTAGTCTTTACAATTTTTAAGTTTACGGTTCACTGGCATTAAGTACATTCACATTGCTGTGCCTGTCACCTGTCACCACCGTCCATCCACAGAACTTTGTCATCTTCCCAAACTGAAACTGTCCCCATTAAACACTGACTCCTCAGTCCTCGCTCCTCCAGCCCCTGGGACCCACCATTCTACTTTCTGTCTTTATGAATTTGACTACTCGAGTTACCTCATATAAGTGCAACCAAGCAGTATTTGTCCTTTGTGACTGGCTTATTTCACTTAGTATAATGTCTCCAAGGTTCATCCACCTGTCAATTTCCTGCCTTTTTAAGACTGAACACTGGCCCATTGCATGTAGATCCCACATTTTGGTTATCCATTCATCCATCAATGGGTTGCTTCCACCTTTTAGCTATTGCGAATAACACTGCTACGGACATGGAGGTACAGATACCTTTTTGAGGCCCTGCTTTCACTTCTTTTGGGCATACACCCAGCAGCAGAATTGCTGGATCATTACTGGATCATCATAGGGTAGTTCATTTGCAATTTTTTGAGGAACCGCCCTATGGATTCCCATAGCTGTATCACTTTACATTCCCATCAGCAGTGCACAGGGTTCCCTTTTCTCCACATCCTTGTCAATACTTGTTGCTTTCTTTTTTTTTTTTTTTGATAATAGCCATCCTAATGGGTGTGAAGTGTCTTTTAACTTTTTAATTTAATGTTTAAAAAATGTATTCCGTATGTGGAATAAAAATTTCAACATGCATAAAAGGTGCATAATGAAACATCAATTTTCCTCTCTCCTCACCCCAGTTTCCCTGTTTCCAGAGGCAACCATGGTTACCACCCTCAGGAACGCTCCTCAAGACGGTCCATGCAGAGATGAGCCTATGTGCGCATACATCTGTTTAAAACAAATAAGAGCACAGCATACACAGTATTTAACATGTGGCTTTTTATTAACTAAACGTGCCATTTTTCACTTTATATAACATTTCCATAACTGTATCTATAGGTGACAAGAGATTTAGATCTGTATAGGATGCTGAAACTATAATGAGAGTCCCCATCTTTCCAACCTAACACAGAAAATTTGGCCTTGAGGAAGATGATATCCTCCTGGCTGTTACTGGAGCAGCGCCCTGTCATCGATACATTAATATTTCTGCAAAGAAACATAAGAATAAATTACACTACGTGGAATAAGGATTCTAACTAGCGTTGCACTGGTCCCCCGCAGGTTTCGCCACGAAACAAGTTTAGGAAGCTTGCAGTTTTCAGAGCTTTTCAGGGTTCAGAATTGCAGCTAAGAGATAACAGGCTTGTAGTACTTAGGGACTGTCAGATCCTGGGCTGCGAGCTTTTCATGTCTTACTTTTGATACTCACAATAATCTCATCAGATAGAAATTTTACAGGTGGAGAAACTGAGGCTCAGAGACAGAAAGCAATTTGCCCAAGTAAGAACCTAAGCTAGGACTTGAACCCAGGTCTGCCTGGTTCCCAAACCTGGCCTCTTTCCCCTACATCCCAGGTGACCACACACCGTTGTCTGCCATAATTATCACTAGTGCCCTCCACTCTCAAAAGAACTGGGTCTCAGGATATATAGTCTATGGTCATGCCAACCATCCCGTGCTATGCCTTGGTGGTTGAGCTTTCTTGGCAGATGAGACCTGGCCCTCGATTCCTATAGACATCGTTGAGTTTAAGACAGTCTTTACACCTTGCGGGCCTCGATTCTCCATTTTAGCCAGCACTTCACAGCTTGTTAAGAGGCGGTGGACGGCCACACGAAGCCTTCCCTGAGTTCTGCAACCTCGGAGGATTTCATGGTCCATGCTGCACTGCTCACCTCTTAATTTTGTGGGATAATTTGTTCTCCGTAATTTATTTTATTTTTTAAAATTGTAAAATATGCTTAACAAAAAAATTTACCATTTTATCCATTTTTAAGTGTACGGTTCAGTGGCACTAAGACACTCACATCTTTATGCAACCATCACCACCATCCATCTCCAGAACTTTTTCATCTTCCCAAACTGAAACTCTGTGCCCTTCGAACACTCACTCCCCCTCTGCCTCCCCCAGCCCCTGGCATGCCCCATTCTTTCTGTCTCTGCACTTGACTCCTCTGGGTACCTCATGTAAGTGGAGTCAAACACTATTTGTCCTTTCGTGACCCCTTATTAGACTCGGCACAATGTGCCCAAGGTCCCCCATGGCGTGGCAGGTGTCAGAAGGCCCTTCCTCGTTACGCTGTGCCCTCTAATTGAGTTTTATGTTACCACTGAAGGCGAGGGCAGCCTCGTGGTCTTTTGGGTCTCACACAGTGCGACCTTGTATTTGACTGCTCAGTCAATATTAACGGGTGGATGATGCAGATTAGAAATTTTTTAGGGTTTGTAGGAGCCTTGGAGTGAAGCAAGAGGCTGGCAAGCTGAGAGGGTTGCCGGGCGGTGCGTGGCCTGGTCTGTTGTGGCGTCAGTGCTTTCAACCACACCGTACTGTAGTTTTCGGCATAGGTTAACAGATGACCTATGACCTTCACTCAGGAAGCAGACGTTACACACCGTGTCTCAGAAGTTCAGCAGCAGCGTCCCCCTTCAATCGGGTGTGTGTTTGAGTGAGGTGTCAGCGTGAGAAACTGTGCGAGGGCATGAGAAACTGAGTGTGAGTGTGGATATGTGTGAGAATGTAGGGGATCACTTTGCAGTGACAGGCTGGAATGGGGACCATGGATCACGTCCTCCATTTACCAGGCCTAATAGAAGCCTCGGGTTAGAGAAATTATGGAAAGCTAAATTCTAGGTTTGAGACCCTAACTGGGCTTTTATGGTTCTAAATAGAAAGAGGAAAAAGTCTTGAGTTTTTCTCCCACTGTTTATGTGAAAATGTGTTGAAGGAAGGTGCTGGATTTGGGTCTGTGAGGTCTTTGCTTGTTTAGGGCCAGGAGAGTCGTTATATCCACGACTGGTGCTGACCCAGTCCTCCCGGGGGCAGTCACTGTCCTACATCCTTACAGCAAACGTCAAGGTTAGGGCGTTGATCATCCTGTCTTACCATTCCGGAAATGGAGGCAGAGAGGTTAAATGACGTGCATGTGGTCACACAGCTGACTCAAATAGAGGTGGTCTGGCTTTGGGGATGAGGATTGTTTAGGATCCGGTGTGGGGCTGAGGTTGGGCTTTTAAGCCTCAGGGCTATCAAGGTGTGTTTGGCTCAAACTGCACCTGCACGTGAGTGACTGTGAAGCATCCGCTCCTGCAGAAGTCCAGGCCTGGCATCAGGCCCCTCCCATCTCCAGACAGTCTCCTTTTCTCTCCTACCCGGTTCAGCAAACTTATCAGGAGGGCGCCTGCAGAAGGAGCCTGCAAGGGGGGCCTGCCCTCCTCGTCTGCAGCATCTCAGCCTTGCGTGGCCACAGGGGGACTTGGGGGAGAGTGACTGAGGAGCTGGTTTGCTCCCAGGTCAACCTGGAGTTCTAGCTGGGCCTGGTGACTCTGAAGCTGTCCCAGCCCCTACATGGTGCCAGCACAGATCCCAACATCCAGCTGATGCTGCTGCAGCTTCTCAGAGGCCCACAGCTATGGTCCACACCGGGAACATGGCCCCTTCTGGAAGCTTCCCTTGCATGAATGGGAAGTATGTCATGGGTTGGAGGAGGCGAAGGTGGTGGCAGCCATCCGAGTTCATCATCCTGGTGCAATTCTCTTCTCGTTACTTGAGCTCCTGTGAGTTACTGAAAACGAGTGGGAAGCATGAAGAGTTTGAACAAGCAAAACAAAAAAACCCCAGGCTGGGCCCTGCCACCTCCAAGACGCCACATTCTAAAACGTGCACGGCGCCCCTGGAGTTGTGTGACACGACAGGTCTGCAGAAAGAGTTCTTGGTGGAACTGTATCAGGGCCTTGACCAATCACTCCCACAGCAGTCAGAGATGGGCCGAGATTAGGACTAGGAGGGTCCTAGTCTGTGAGGGGGGTGAGTTCTAACGTTTCCTAAATGTTCGGAAGAAGCCCTCCTGCCCACATCTGCTCCCGACCTTCCCAGGAGTTCCACACGTGAGGCTGGACGATAGAGGAGGCCTCTGGGTGGCAGGCCTGGAGGTCGTGTGCACATAAAGGAGCCGCCCCAAGGGGGGGGGAGGGGGGGGAGGAGGGGGAGGGGAGGGGGAGGAGGGGGAGGGGAGGGGGAGGGGAGGGGGAGGAGGGCGTCGCTGTGGGGGCCTGGTGGGAGAGTGAGCAGACAGTCAGGTGCCATGGGGTTTGCACTAGGTTTCAACCTGTCACCCTGAGGGCGGAGCTCAGGGGAAAATGGCCTCTTCAGTGGGAATCTGTATTCTGACTCCTTTTGAATCCTGTACAGCACAAAATGGATTTAAGACAAACAGGGAGTCTGTTTTAACTCCCTTAGTTGATATGTTTTACAGTCTGTGGTGCACATTTGCATTTTAACCACACGCAGACTTACTGTTTGTGCGGGGAGCTCGTTGTGCTCGGCCAGCGCCTCGCCAGCAGGGAAAGGTCATCTGAGGCTGGCCCTGTTCATGCAATCCCTGAGGCTGATGTGGGTCAGAAGTCAGGAGCCCGCTGCATAGCTGTCATGGTACCTGCTCCGAGAAGTCCTCCAGCTGCTGGTGGCTGGCGCCGGACCCACGTCCCATGCTTCGCTGTCCGTTCCGTGTGCCTCCCCACACCTGAAGCTGTCTGTCTCCTGTCCAGGCTCTGACCTGAGGGCTGTGGGAGTGACAGCTGTGCCTGGCATGGTGGGGAGCAGCCCGTATGAAAGGCTGTCCTGTGTCTGTGGAGCCCGTTGTGGGAGGGTCTCCAGAGCTCGCTTGCACAATGCTGCCTGCAAGCGTTTTCATCAGAGTCTTAGCAACTGTCATGTCAGCATGTGACCTTTAAAATTGTTGAAAAGGAGCCACTTCTGGAGAATGTGCTCATGAGGAGCAGCCCCTCTTCCTGCTGCCCGGCCGCCTGCCCAAGGGAGCGTTGGCTGCCTCGTGGGCTGAGGGAGCCCACCGCTGGTGGAAGAAGTCAGAGAGGGAGCCCATTGGCTTGGCCGCTTGACATTTTGTTTTTTAATATTATTATTTTTACCTCAGTTGTCTTACACACAGCTGTTAGAGAGTTTGGCATCTCTCCATCTCTGTGAAGAGCCAAGATCCATACCCTGTTTCTTCCTCTTACACTGCTCTCACCTCCTGGGACACCCTGTTCTTTGGCAGCTCCCCTCCCCTCAGGTACCCTATTTTCTGATTCTCGGTGGGGCTTGCTGGGCCACCTTCTCCCAGCTCATCCGCCTTGGAGAGGATTCAGGAGGAAGGGAGAGCACAGGGCCTCGCTGAGGGGAAGGTAGCCTAGCGGGGAGAAGGAGGCCCAGGGTGGCAGGTGAAGGGAGGCCATCCTGAGCAGGACAAGGCCAGACGGTGCCTTGCAGTCACTCTGAGGCACGGAGGGGAGGCATCCCTACTTCAGGGCAGGCCCTGGACCACTCCGGAGAAGGGTCCTCGGGAGACCCTGTCTCTGCCTCATTCTAGTTTGGCTCTTCTTCCCTGAACCACTGCACAGCTTTTCTCGGCTTTCTTGGGGTACTCCAAACTGCAGTGGGTGGTCCCAGAGACCTCCTGGGTAAGCCTGGGCTCAGGCTGTGGGCACCCCAGCGCCGGCTCGAGGTCCCCTCCGCCTGCCTCTCCCCCACCAGCACCATCAACCTCTGGTTCTGTGGGCCCTACCTCTGAGCCCTTCTTTCAGCACATGCTTTCCTCTCCGTTACCCCCAGTCCAGGGGTCAGTCAACCACGGGCTGGGCCGAATCTGGCCGGGCCGGCTGGTGAGTAGAACTCTGCGGGAAAGTGGCTAGGCTCCTTCATTTGCATACTCCCTCTGGCTGCTCCTCCATACAATGGTTAAGGAAAAATGCCTGCCAGGCCTGCTCTAATTCTCCCCTTGTCCTCTTTCAGGGGCATCATTGGGCCATCTTTCCACGCAGTCCCGTCTTCAGTCTGGCTCCCCTCCGGGCCGCTCTCCGGCTCCAGCCTTTCTGAAGTCAGCTCCGACTCTGGGGCTTTGCCATGGGCTCCCCGGCTCCTCTGCTTGGCAGGGGTGGTGGGGGGGATTCTAACCACCTTCTCACGGTTGGCAGGATTCTCGGCCCAGCTCCAGCCCGCCCTTTGCCACCGGGCCACGTTCAACTGCACGTGGCTTCCAAGTGCACGCCTCCCAGAGGCCCCGCTGCGTCTCCATGGCCAGCGGGGAGTGGGGGGGTTCGCTGCCCAGTTTCCTCTTCCTGGAGGGACATTCCCCTGCTCTTGCCCGGCCTGTCCTGAATCACTCCACAGTTCTCAGGGAAGCCTCTGACTGCCCAGGACCGGGTCGGGAGCCTTCCCTGTGCTGCACAGCCCCCCAGATCTCTTCCTATACACCATAGATCATGCTATATTGAAATTGCATTTCATTCATTCATTCACTCATTCCTTCATCCTACATATGAGTCACTGATCTGAGAGCTCTGGATAAAAAGAGAAAAATCCTGAGCTCCCTGCTGCTGCCAGAGGCTGACATGCGAGTGGGGGCAAGAGAGGTGAAACGAGACGAGAAAGCAGGATGGAGAGTATTAGAGAGGAGGAGGTGCTAGGGAGAAAAATAAGCCGAAAGGAGGATATGAAGCGCACTGGGAGTGTTGACATTTCAGACAGGGTGACCAGAGAAGGCCTCACTGAGAAGGTGGTTTTTGAGTAAAGGTTTGAAGGGAGGGAGGGAGGGAGGGAGCCATGTAGATATTTGGCAAAGAGCCTTCTAGACAAAGAAAAGAAAGATGGGAAGGCAGGAGCACACCTGTCTGGTGTGTTTGAAGATGAGGCCGGTGTGGCCGATGTGGCTGGAGGGGAGAGAATGAGGAAGGGAGAGGGAGGATGGAGAGGGGAAGTGTGGGGCCGGGGGGGCTGTGGGCAGGATCTGAGGGGCGTGGGAGCCACTGTGGACTATTGAGCAGAGGCGCGGTGTGACCTGACTTGAGTTTTAATAGAGTCATCCTGTTGGTGATATGACTCTCCACTAGACAGACAAGCTCCTCGAGGGCAGGCATTGGGTCTCGTTGACCCTCATTCTCAGGACAGAGCATTCGGGCTTGTAGGAAGCCTCAATATGTTTTACAAATGAATGATGAACGAATGAATGCGTGAATGAATGCTATCTCCCAGCAGCCAGTCCTGGCTCCTAAGTGCTGGGGAGGTCTTCTCACTGTTGAAGGAAAGCTCTGGTAGCAGATGCTGCCAACAGCCAAATCCCTAGGGCTCTTAGCTGCCTGCTTGGATGTTGCTATGGCAGCAACACACATCCAAACCAGTTTTCCTTGTTGCCACAGAAAGGACTGCTTAATGGATCGGTGTCACCTGGAGGGAGGATTTCGGGGTGTATCATGCAGCCTAGGCCTTGGCCCTGCCCTGTGCGATGTTCTGCTCAGTGATGCAGGTGAAGCCAGAGAGAGTTCTAACCGAAATTGCAGGTGGAGGTGGAGAGGGGGATAGATGATATGTTGATTGATAAGACTCAGAATCCAAAACTATCTTTGTAGGTTCAAGCCAAGAGGCCCTATCCGTAGGAGAAGGTAAAATAGGGAGCCATGTAAGGCTGTATGTCAAAGCCAAAAAAGTCAGCTGCCAAGACTGAGTTGGGGCTGTGTAGCTTTAGTAGATGGTAAACACTGTCAGAGTGAAAAGCGCAAAGCACTTGTCAAAAACCTTAAAGCAATCTGAGAAGCCATTCTAGAAGTGTATTAATAGCTGCCTATTATGCGAGAGTTGTCATCCTCCGCTGATTGTGTATGGCCACTCCCAGGACTTCCCGTCCAGTCCTTGGCAAGACCCCTAAAGAGCACCAGAGCACGCTGGGAGTGTGACTGCAGAGGTGTGTTTGCGAGCACCTGAGTGCTTGGAGAAGAGGAGCCTGGGGAGCTCTCTTCAAATGTCTGAGTTATGAGGGCGAGAGGGCTTAGGTTTGAGAGCTATTCTGAATGGCTCTAAGGCGTTGAAATAGGGCCAATTGGATGTCAGCTCAACGGATGGAAACATTGTGCAAACATCAGACGGGTTGCCTGGGGCTTCTTTTTATGAGGGGAGAGGGAGGGAGACAACCGGTGAGCAGGAATACTAAAGCATCACATAAGCACTTTTACTAGATAATTTAAAAACCCCCTTTCATACTGGGATTCCATGCATTTATGCTTCTCAAAATCTGCTAGTTATTCCTTAATATCTATTTTTTTACTTCTTCCTTAATAATAAAACTCAACATTTTTAGCATGCCTTTCCACAACAAGGGCTATTTTCCCAGCCTTCCTTGGGACCAGGTGTGGCCAGAGGCTAAAATTGTGGCCAATGGACTAAAAGCAGAAGTTTCACGTTCTACTTCTGGGAAGTAGTAGCAAAGAAAGAGGTAGACCCTTATTTTCCCTTCCTCGTTGCTGTAGGCTGAAATGTGGATGTGGTGGCTGGCGCTCAGTAGCTTTTTTGGGCCATGAGGTAGAAGATCAGTTTTGATAAGGAGCTTGAGTTCCTGATGATTGTGGCCATGATGACAACCCTGGCCTGCTTACCTATATTCTTTATTTGTGTGTGAGAGAGATAAACTTGCATTTGTGACAAACCACAGTTATTTTGGGTTTTCTGAAACTAAGAGATGAACCAATTCATAGCTAATGTATCATGGAAAGTACACACACACACACACACACATGAGAAGGAACAGTATTGAAATGAAAGAATGATGGACATGGACTTTCCAGTTGGATTGCTTCACTTCAAATTCCAGTTCCACTAATTGCTAGCTGTGTGCCCTTGGACAAGATTCTTAACCTCTCTTTGCCTCAGTTGCCAAACATAAACTAGGAATAATAATAGTAACAACTGTACAGTTGTTGTTTGTTTTTAGAGAGGATCAAATGAGAGAATACATTTGAAAACATAGAACAGTGATTGACACATAGTGAATATTCGATGCTTCTTGGTTATTATCAGCATACAGACTGGTCCACACTTGTGTTTACTTGTACTTGACCTTTCCATACACTGAGACAACTATGGAGTTGTACTAAGTGTGTTTTCCCTTATTGCTCGTTTGATGACTTCCATTAATGTCCCAGAAGGACGAAAAGAAACAATATAAGGACAGTCAAAGTGCAGTTTATGCATACATATTCAAGATTTTTTCTTAAGACAATCTGCTTTAAGGCATGAGATTGAGGAATGAATTGTATCTAGAAGCGTGGGTCACTGGGACTGGCTGTGTGCTCTGGATCCCTTCACTGTTTGGTTATCAATGTTTAGATTGTATACTAACGTAGAGTTCACAGCAGTAAGCAGCAATTGGCACCTCGGGAAAGAGGACGCTCTTCTGCCAGGCATTGTCTGCCTGAGTTTCTTAAGGTACCTAAGCTAGAACACCATCTGTTCATTCACTTACTTATTCATGGGAATGGAGAGGCGAATATGGAGGGATCCATACCCTCAAGATGTTCCCAGCTGGATAGAGCAGGCAGCAGACTTCTTGTAGCTCCCCTGACATGCCTCTTCTCATGTCTGGCTCTCTGGGCCGTGGGTGTCAGAAGGTGAGTAAGAGCTTGCCAAGAAGAAAAGGTGGGGTGGCACTTCTGGGAATTTATTGCCCTGAGGCGGCTGCACCTGTGTGGAAGGACGTACACGCATGGTTATTCATGGCAGCATCACCTGTAGGAGTGGAAGCCTGGAACCCACGTGTCCGTGTACGGAGGACTGGATAATCCAGGGATAGTGCTGCAATGGAATACTACACAGCCTGAAAAAGAACAAGGTTGCTGTCTATGCACCGAGAGGACAAGCTTTCTAGAATATACTGTTATGCAAGAAAAAGCAAGGAGCAGAGTATACGTAGCTGGCTACATTTTGTGCATGAAAAGCGTGTGTGTGGTGGAGAGATACCATATATATCCATATTTCCTTGTATTTGCAGAAAGACTAGAAAGGTAAACAAGGAACTTATAAAAATGGGCACCCCTCAGTCGGGAGTAGGGGCTGGGGAGTGGGAAAGGAGAGGACCAGGTCAGGGTGGGAGCAAGCCTTTCCAATCCTTCTTTACATTTTGATTTTCAAACCCTGTAAATGTATTATTTACTCCAATAAACAAAATGAAACGTAATAAGAAAAAGGAAGAACATTCTCAGGAGAGATAACAGCACGTGCAGAGGTTCAGAGCCACGAAACAGCAACAACCAGAGAACAAACGCCTCCCTAACTTTTATCCGGCGTCCCTCTAGGCAGGCTTCCAGAACTGTTTCGACGTCTCAGTTTTTGATTTCTGGACACCTACTAGAATATAAATTCCTTAAAAGTATGGGACTTTGTCAGTCTTGCTCAACACAATATACATATACAAACTAACACTGGTTGCCCGACATTATGGACTAAGTGTCTGAGATCTCTCTCCATATGCACCCCAGCATCTTCTGGAGGAAAACCCTCTTCCCTTTCCATAGTCTTGTTCTTCTCAGCTGGGGTCCTATTCTCTGCCTTTTCTTCAGAATCCTAGACCAGGAGTCATTCCATCTCTCTTCCAGAAATCAAAAAGTGATGGCTGGCTGACTGACCTCAGAGAAATACATTTAAAGACATCAAGGTAAGTCTATATGCGTGCATACATAAGAATGTATATGAGCTTATACTCATACACACACTCAGAGCACTACATGAAGTACACAAGACGTGCAAGACATTCCACCTGTTAAATAGGGACTACGTGAGTAGGTTCTCTAGAAAAGCACTTTTCAAGAATTTTCGCTCGCATACCTTCTAAAGGAATTTGGAAAACAACCCTCCCCAACATGTATAAGTCAACATCTCAAATTTTTTATGGTAAGTTTAAATAGTTGCCAAGGATGTAATTTTGGCGTATTGTAAAATGTTGACATCTTAAAGTCAAACTATCACATGACTTCCAAATGTGGGCCTAATGGAATTTAAATGCTGTAATGATTTGAGACTCATCACTTTTTAAATTACGTGAACAGTTCTTGTTAACAGTCAGACATTTTTCATCTCTCTTTTTTTCTTCTTGAATTCCTATTTCTATTCCATTTATCCACCCATTTTTTATCCTAATTTAATATATTTTTAAACTTGAAAACCTTTTATTGGTTTCATAGTTATCTCTGTCGAATCTACATGTGTATATTGTAACGTTACATTTGTTTTATTTCCTATGACAAGCTGCTAGATGCTAAAAAAAGTGGGCTTTTTTTCTTGACAATAAATAGTAGAGAATTTGTCAAAATAAGATATACCAGCTTTCTCTTGCCTCAAGAATGCTGCATAGGGGATGGGCCCCATGGTTGAGTGGTTAAGTTCTCGCGCTCTGCTTCGGTGGCCCAGGGTTTCACTGGTTCAGATCCTGGGCGCAGACATGGCACCGCTTGTCAGGCCATGCTGAGGTGGCGTCTCATATGCCACAACTAGAAGGACCTACAGCTAGAATATATAGCTATGTACTGGGGGGCTTTGGGGAGAAGAAAGAACGAAAAAAAGGATTGGCAACAGATTTTAGCTCAAGAGTCAATTTTAAAAAAAGAAAAAGAATGGTGCATAACAAACAACCCCAGCCCTAAACAATAAGCATTCTTTTAGCTCAGGCAGCTGAGGGAGGCTGAGTGGTTCTTTAGGCCTAGAAGGGCTTGGCTGACTTGCCTGGGCTGGCTCACGTGTCTATAGCCACCATCTGGTCAGCTGGGATGCCTTGTGTCTGCTGCACATGGTTTCTCACTCTCCAGTGGGCTAGCCTGGGCTTCTTCATGGGGTGACTGGGCATCATCCTAAGAGAGTGGGCAGAATCAAACAAAGCCTCTTGTGCACAGCTTTAAGACTGACTCATTGTCACTTCTGCCACATTCCATTGGCCAAAGCAAGTCACAAGGCCAGTCCAGATTCAGGGGCGGAGTGGAGAGACAGTCTCACGTCTAGTGTGAGGAGCTTCAAAGCCACATTGCAGGGGCAATATTTTGTTATACTTATACTAAGTATTTCATTTTTTTGGGTGCTAATGTAAAATAGTGTTGCATTTTTTTTTTGTCAATTCTTTCAAACTTTCTATATAGATGATTGTGTCATCTGTGAACAAAGACAGTTTTATTTCTTCCTTTCCAATCTGAGTGCCTTTTATTTCCTTTTCTTGTCTTATTGCATTAGCTGGGACTTCCAGTATGATGTTGAAAATGGGTGGTAAGGGGACTTTCTTGCCTTATTCCTGATCTTAGTGTGAAAGTGGAGTTTCTCACCATCAAGCGTGATATTAGCTGTAGGTTTTTTGTAGTTATTCTTTATCAAGTTGAGGAACTTCCCCTTTATTCCCAATTTAGCAAGAGTTTTTGTTATGAATGGATGTTGGATTTTGTCAAAGGATTTTTCTGTATCTATTGATATGATCATGTGACTTTTCTTTTTCAGTCTGTTGATGGTTGCATTAATTGATTTTAAAATGTTAAGGCAGCCTTGCATGCTTGGGATGAATCTCATTTGGTCGGGTGTATAATTCTTTCTATACATTGTTGCATTTGATTTGCTAATATTTTGTTAAGGATTTTGTATCTGTGTTCATAAGAGATATTGATCTGTAGTTTTCTTGTAATGTCTTCTGCTGGCTTTGGTGTTAAGGTATTGCTGGCCTCATAGAATGAGGCTCCTCTGCTTAAATAAGATTTTAATGATAAAATTGATAAAAATAGGTTTTAAACTATCTTATTAAATAAGACATCGGGATCTGAAAGAAATCTGTTGAAACTAATCCCGGGACTTCAGCTGACATATCTTGAAAGTTTTAGAAATTGTTTAAAACATTCTAGTTACAGTGGAAATGACTAGCATCCAGTGTATGAACCAAATGATCAAAACTATAAAACTCCAATAGCTATATGGCCTTTAGCTTTTTGAATGTGCTTTTCTTATCAGCTAACAACATAGGGATAAGTTTTAAGAATAGCTGCAAAGAATTTCTTTGTTGCTTTTTTGTGTGTGTGAGGAAGTTTCACCCTGAGCTAACATCCATGGCCAATCCTCCTCTTTTTTTGACTTGAGGAGGACTAGCCCCGCGCTAATGTCTGTGCCAATCCTCCTCTACTTTGCCTGTGGGATGCCTCCACAGCATGGCTGATGAGTGGAGGAGGTCCACGCCCAGGTTCCGAACCCAGGAACCCTAGGCCACCAAAGCAGACCGAGTGGAACTTTAACCACTTGGCCATGGGGGCCGGCCCCCAAGAATTTCTTACATTTATAAATATGAGGAAAAAAGTCTTTTTTAGCATCAAATAGTTCTTACAGGTGTTCTCCTTGATTTGCTCTCACAGGACTAACCCTCAAGGATGATGATTTTCTCTTTCTCCAGTCTCCCTTTCTCTGTCTTTCTCTCTTTCTTGCTTTGACAGAGGTGAGGAAGTGGAAGAGGTGAGTTTGTTGAAGAAAAGCTAATTTTATTCCCATTTCCCCACTGAACCATATAACTGAATTCAGACTATGCCAACACGGGCCAGATAACTAATTTGAATAATAGGTTTCTGTTATCAAACAAACAAGCAAGTGTATAAGCCAGGGAAATCCTGAACGCCCTGCAAGTTAGTGGGGCCTTTATTATTCTTCAGAGGAGGCTTCTCGTTCGTTGGCTGCCCTGGAGTTCTCCGGTCTCAGCATAATGAGCCATGGTAAGATGTGAGAGAGCAGAAGCACTTGCCTTTCTTTTATCAAGTGGGAGAAAGGTTACTGTGAACTCCAGCAGCTTCTCAGTCCAACCACCTTAGGAAGGAGCATATGTGGAGAATGAGGATCTGGAAGTTGATTCTCCTGAGACCATCCAAGTTGTACCCCGTGGAAAGTCTTCATGCCCCCAAAGTTAGGGGGTGCCCTGTAAGTTAGGGGATCTTGCAGGTTATTGGAGGGACTGTTCAGAGGGAAGACATTTCTTGTAAAATGAGAAAACTTCACCTATGATCACGCCTGGGAAGCTCCTTCGCAATTGTGTACTGAGAGGCCATAGAAACTGCTTCTCTACGTGCATGGTAAGCTCACTGAGTGCAGAGGCATATCCTTTTTTTCTCTTCCTCTGGAGGGCCCATCATTGTGCTGGGCAGGTGGTAGAGCTGCTCAAACAAACAGCAAACAGATTTTTCTATTTCCTGGAAGTAAAGGACTTGAAGAGAATTCTAGAATTCTTCAGTTCATTCTCTCATGCATCTGGTGGAATGAAATTCAGAGTTTCAAAGACAGTTGAGAATTCATCTGTATTTTAAAAAGCAGGAGAAAAATTCTAATAATATCACTTGTTGACCCATTCCGGAGTCTAACAGCCTAGAGTACAAGAAATGTTTCCTTATGAGTAATGTAAGTGCCTGTTCGCTTTCCACCACAGACTGAGGATAGCTGGTCCCAGTGTCTGTGACCTTAACCTTCACAGTCAGTTACGTTTTCCTCCCTCCCTTGGGCTGGAGAATGTGAGTTCCTCTTTGTCTCAGAGGTGTAGCATATTTATGGAAGCTGTTTTCATTTACCTTCTCTTATTCTGAGCTGGGGAGAATTTAAGTTTAGAAGGAAGAAGAATGCTAAAGCTATCTTTCTAACTTTAAACATCTGAGATATTCCTGGGAAAGCGCTGCGCGTTGGTTGTTTCCTAGCCTTCCCTCCCTCTCAGTGCTAGTTGTTGACCCAGATGTCAGTCCTTCCTCAGGGACCCATGCCCCTGTTGAGAGCTGGGCACCAGGCTGCCCAAATAAAGACCATACTTCCCAGCCTCCCTTGCAGCTGATTGTGACCACAGAGACGTAAACAGCAGTGTTGCCCGGAAGCTCATGAAGGTTCCATCAAAGGTGGCAAGGTGGCACTGCACGCACTTTTTGTCTCTCCTTCGTGTCTCCTGCGTACTGTTCATTCAGTTATCTACTGCTGTGTACCAATCCACTTAGAAAACAAGTGGCTAAAACCACTCTGATTTATTACTTTTTGTGATTCTATGGGCTGGCAATCAGGGAAGTTTTTTTGTTGTTCTTCCCTGATGTCCCAGTGAGGGCCATATAATCTAAGATGGCCTCATTGTCATATCTGGCAGCTGGGGCTCCTCAGTTCTTCTCCATAAGGTGTCTCATTCTCCCACTGGCTAGGTGGGCTTTTTCACAACATGGTGGCCTCAGGGTTTCAAGAGAGTGAGAAAAGAAGCTTCAAAACGCCTTAAGGCCCAGGCTCTGGAATTCATACAATGTCACTTCTGCCAAATTGTATTGGTCACCCTGAATTCAAGTTTGGAGAAACAGACCGCATGTCTTGATGGAAGGAGAGTCAGGGTCCTTGATATTGCAATGGTGTGTGGATATGGGAGGTGTGATTCATTGCGGACTGTTATCAAAAACAATCTACCACACTCGTTGGCTGGAGTGTGGATGTGATGTCTAGAACTCAAGCAGCTATCCTGGACAGGCTTTGGAAGCCATGTGCTGAGAATGTTGGAGCAGCAAGATGGAAGGATCCTGAATCCCCAGCAGCTTTATGAGCCTCTCTGTGTGCCGTAGACTGTATCTCCAGTGTGGTTTCACAGGAGAGATCAATAAACTCCTATGTTGTTTGAGCCACTGTCATTTTGGACTTTCTGTCACTTGCAGCAAAATCTTTACGTACTCTCCAATGCTCAACCTCTCTTAAATTTCCAGCTCTACTTACTAGCCTAGGTGACCACAACTTATAGTTTTCTGCAGTTTCAGGGTTGAAAAGTAAAGGAGGAAACCTAACATTTTAGAGTTGCTATCATGACGTTTTGATGTAATTTCCTGTCCCACTTGGCAAGCCTGGGGAAAATAAAATGCAGAAGGTGGACAAGAGTGATGCTACCATGAGGCAGGAAAAGGTTAGGGATTGTCCTGAGCCTGAAACATTGCTTGGTTCCAAGTTGGTCAACGTAATTTCAGCGACCAGCCCAGGGAGAGCCCAGGAACCACAGTGGCACGTCCAGGAACGTTCCAGGCAAACTGAAAAAGCCAAACTTGTCCATGCATAGACTTGTGGATCAGTGGTTCATTTGGATGTGGTCAAAAGTGGGCCTGCTCCTTAATATAATGATAAGCTGTGTATCTTAGATTCCATCTGGAAACCATTCTTAGATTTACATTATGAAGAGAGGATTTTGAGTTGAGTCTTTCTTAGCTCATCTGTTTTGCATGTGCACAAGGGTGGGTTTAGAGATGAACAACAGCTTTTCTCCTCCCCATTTTTTCTTCAAGTTCTATGGTTTGGTTTGGGCTTTATTTATAACGTATCACATGTAGGAATACAGCAGGGCACTAACCAGAGACCAAGCAGCATCATATCATTTTACATATTCCCCACTCATAATTAGTTTAGGCTGTTTTAAGTTTGCTTTTTTTTTTTTCTATAATGATATAGTAGACACAAAGTGTTAACTAGAAACAGAAATATTCCCTTCTACCTCCGTCCCACCCTTAAACTGGCCCCCTCCTATGTCACCAACCCTCTAGCCCCCCCACACCCTGTTAGTACGTCAGTCCTAGGTTCATTCACCCACCAGTGAAAAACAGATTGATCTGAGGCTTCAGCCAACTCTTAGAGGCCACGGGACCTTGACTCCTTATCTCATCCCTCTCTCTCCTCCAAGCAGAATGGTACACAAACAAGACTGGACCGAGAGAAGGCATCTATCTCCTTCCAGAGAAGCTCCTCAGACAGCGCTGATTCCGTGGCCTTGCTCTGTTACTGTCTCTGAATGCAGACGCCTCACTGCCACGGGCTGGGCACAGTTTCTGCAACCTCCAGCAGTGCGTGGTCTTTTGGTCACTCAAATCCTGTCACTGACTTCAGATGCTGCTCTTGTAGATGTTTGAATTGCCTTTAGCTCTCTATGAAGAATGTGCTGGCAAGGCCACGTATGGAAAGACTGGGACATATGACAGAATTACAGTCTAGTTAAAAAAGAAAATATGCACATACATGTATGTGTATTTGTTTCCAGAGGTCTTGGCTTTAAAGACGAGTTTGCATATATTTGGCCATAAATTTGCATATATTTGGCACAAATTTTCCTAGTCTGTTTGTCAGTCTCTACTTCCAGATGAAGTTACATGAGAACACCTTATTTACTCTACAATAACTTACGTTTTCCCCCTTGGACCCATGTTACGTTATATTGGCCGTGTTACTAATGTACCAAGTTCCCCTGGTTTATCCTCCACTTCCGAGAATTTGTTCTAGTTTTTAAGAAATGCTTACTAACTATAACCATTGTTTGTTGTGGAACCCAGCCCTGAAGGACACCAGGAGGCCTCTGTGAACTGGCGGCTTCTGTTAGGTATTGTCTGTAGAGACACTGGGTTCTCCAGAGACGCCCCGCAGAGCCCTCCAAAAAGGATTAGCTAGTAAATTGGGCCTTTAATTGTATTTATATAAATTAAACGTTATGTTTATATTTATATGAGAAGGATTATAATTAAAACTTATATGTGTATAGAAAAGGATTTTACCAAAGTACTGGAACCTGCATCACGACTATTCCCAAACTTAACGTTGGGGACGTTAATCACTGTTCAAGAACCAGTCACCAAGCCGACCGATGTCACTGAGTGAGAGCCCGGGCGAGCTGCGTCTGCTCCCTGTTGCTGCTTCCTCCTCTGGACAGTGAGGCTGTGACAGCGGCCCCCGCGTTTCCCACACCTCAGGATCCAGGCATCACCTTAATAAGTTTTCCCACATCCTTCTATCACTTATACTGTTATTTACTTCATGTTTTTCTGGAATTTAATAACTTTTAAAACTTAAATTGGCATTATCTACCTTACCTTAGGCCTAAGCAAAGACATCTGTGAAATGACAGATTTGATGTACTCTTTCTTTCTTTTTTTGTACATTAAAATAAATATATAACTCTCAAAAATTGTAAAAGACGCTCATCTGTATTCACTTGAGATTTTCTCAGGTACCACTGCACTTTGAGAACTGTGGCCAAAAAGTGGAATAAGACGCATCAAGAGCTTGCTGCAGGCCTGGCCACAGCAGTACCGGCAGCTGTGCTTATGGTCGCTGCGGTGGCCGAGAGAGCCCGTTTCCTACTGCAACATTCTCCTGCCTTCACAGAGCAGAACGCTGGCTTTCACCTGGGCACAGAGCTAAAAAACTACATTTCCCAGAATTCCCTGCAGCTACATATAACCTTGGGACTATGTTTTGGACTCCGAGACATCACAAAATCTTTGGTGAAATTTCTGGGAAACCCCCTTAAGAAAGAGAAGGCATATAGTTCTGCAACTTCTTCCATTTTGCTCACTCAGACTTGGATAGGAAGGCAGCCGTCTCCAACCATAAAGATGAGGGCCGTCTCCCAGGAATGGCAGAACCCACAGCCAGAGGAGCTCAGCTCTTGATCGTCGTATGGGCCTGCCATGGTAGCCCTGGACTGTTTATCTCTGGACTTCATTTATACAAGGGAGAAGAAATAAACTTCTTGTTTAAGCCACTGTCTCTTAGGGTTTTCTGTACTTGCAGCTGAACATAATCCTAATGGATATATTATTGTGCACATGGTAGATAGGGTGTCAGTGAGTGAGCTGGGGCTGGTCGTATAGGTAAGAGCCTATTGTTAAAGTTTTCTTTTCTTTTCTTTTCTTTTTTGGTGAGGAAGATTGGCCTTGAGCTAACACCTGTGCCAATCTTCCTCTATTGTTTGTATGTGGGACACTGCCACAGCATGGCTTGAGGAGTGGTGTGTAGGTCTGTGCCTGGGATCTGAACCTGCAAACCCTGGGCTGCTTAAGCAGAGCACACAAACTTAACCACTAAGCCAGCAGGCTGGCCCCCTGATTGTTAAGTTTTAATGAACTTTGCATGCTGGTGAATGTCATTTCAGTAGCTTGAAATTGGCCATGGTGGGAGTATTTGCACCACAGAAACTGGCAAATGCTACACATCAGGGTTTTTTTCCTCCAAGAGAGCCAGTTATTGAGCATTTACCATTTATTGTCACACCACTAATGGGATTAAATGATTTTATCCACGAAAGTTTGATCACGTAGTAAGTGAGGAGACCTGAGGGTGGGGGAATGGCCTGATCTCTCTCTTCATTTGCTCTCTATTCAAACTCTACCTCAGGGACTGAATCAGGCCGAGGCTTCCATATTGTCTTGAATGGAGGATGCCTGAACGTTCCTTGGAGGTCTGCTGTGGAGAGGTCCCAACAGGTTGATAATTAGAGAGCCTGGCTGCCCCTTGCTGTGGGGACAGTGATTAGGGAAGACAGGAAATTAGCATTCTGATTGTGCCGTCAGGTGCTAAAAACATGAGGCGCACATACATATGATTAATCTATTACCCAACTTTTCCTCTTCCTTTTAAAGGGTGAGAGTTGCTAACTAGGCAATAGACATGCACATAGTTAGAATTTACTGCCACACCATAATTATATTTAAACAATATATGCTGTATATTGATTAAGCATAAATGTAAACAGTTTCGTAAATGGAGCTAATGAGTATAACTTTTCCATAGTCACACCTTGTCTCTACTTATCCTTTTCTTGCTTTTTTTTACTAGAAGGTATAGCCATTGTCAACTGTGGGTTTTTTTGATATCTTTTCTGTTCAGTTGACCCTCACACACCATTTCACCTCAGCCCAGTAGGTGGTCCCACATTTTGGAGGACAAATTCATGTAGCTTCATGGGAGTGCAGAGGCTTTCATATAAACAAGCTTATGTTTAAATTCTGGTTCCTCTGTGCTTATGGCTGCATAATCTTGAGCAAGGTAATTCCTTGTATCAGTTAATTCCTGTATCAGTTATCCATTGCTGCATAACAAACTACCCCCAAACTTAGAGGTTTAAAACAAACAAAAATGTACCATTTCTCATGCTTCTGTGGGTGGACTGACTTTCCTGATGGTCTTGCCTGCGCCCACTTGTGTTACTGCATTCAGTTAGTGGCTGGGAGGGAGCTGTTGACTGTGGGCTTGGTTTTCCTACGTGTGGCCTAGTTATGTAGCTAGCCTGGGCTTCCTCACAGCCTGGTGGCCTCAGGGTTCCATGAGGGAGGAGCAGAAACTGCAGGTCACTTGATACTTGGGCTCGGAAGCCCCCGAGGGCGGCTTCTGCTGCAGTGTTTGCTCAGAGCATGTCCCAAGCCAGCCCAGATTCAAAGCGGGAGAAATTGACCCCATCTCTGGAGGGAGGACATCGGGGAGGAGAGGAATTTTTGGCAGCCGCATTTTCAAGTGCTCTACCACAACCTCCCTGTATCTCAATTTCTCATTTGTTAAAAAGGCAAAATCTATACCCAAGGTTATTGTGAAAAATCAATGAAATAATGCATAAGACACTGATGCAGGAGCCTGACACATGAGCTAGCTGCTCGATAAATGGCGGTTCCCTCCTCTCTCCCCTTCCTTGGCTCTGTCCGAATACGCCCCCTGGCAGGCTCCTGTCCATTAATCTCTCCTCCACTCCCCAAGCGCACACAAACCGGAAACTTTGTGGGGGTCTCAGGGGTCTAACGATGGGGATGGATGACAAAAGGTCTGAGCATCAAAGCTGGAGGTCGTAGGCTTGTTTAGGGGTGTTTAGGAGAGGGGCAGATATAAGGGGTGGTACAGAGGGGGAGATTAGGAATGGGTCTAGACCAGGGAGTAGAGAGTTGTGTAACAGGACAGACAAACATAGACGGGGCCTCTGTAAGCCCAGGACCTACCGGAGGACCTTCCACTTCTTTCTGGGGTTAAAGACAGTTCAAAGTTCACTATCACACATCTCTTCCTTTAGGGCTTGGTTATGGATAAGTGTGTGTGTGTGTGTGTGTGTGTTTGTGTGATTTTTCCCCTCAGGGGACATTTGGCAATGTCTGGAGACATTTTTGATGCCACGACTTGGTGGGGGTGCTGCTAGCATCCAGCAGGTAGAGACCAGGTGTGCATCCTACAATGCACAGGACAGCCCCCATAACAGAGAGTCATCCAGCCCAAATGGCAAGCC